GAATGCTCATAAGCAGTGAACATCGGCGTCTGTCAAGAAACAATTAACTGGCAAGCATCATTACAGCAGCTATCCATAATTCGGTCATAATGCCCAGGTATTGAGAGTGTTTGTGTTTTTTGTTCAACACTTTAAATATGCAGAAACTTTCTGGTTTGCAGAAAGTTTCACCACCTACGCTGAGGCTACTTGTATTTGAAGGCTTACAGCACTTTTGCAGTGAAGTATCGGTTACTGCATTGTAACAAAAAAAAACAATCCCCAGCATGATCTGATGTATTTGGCCCCACCCCCACCCCCATGAAAATGGGCTGATGGGCTGGAGTAAATAGTTTAGCCTCAGCCCGTTTCAACAACAGGCCAACATCCTTCTCTCAGTCTCTACGAAGGTCGCTTGTAGATAAGTAAATAGAGCCATTTCTAACTTGATGCTGCTTTGTCCTCATTACGCGTCAAAACCAATGCGATTCGACCACAGTTCGTCGTTCATCGTTTCAAAACGTTTGTTTACAGTAACCTAATCGAAGCAAAATGCAGGCAAATTTCTCTGCAAAAGATTTCTCCTTCCTCAGTCCAAATATTGCAAGGGTTTCTAGAAGCACTGGAGGGCTCCCATGAGAGGGTACTCCTATTTAATTCTGGCTAGATGGCACCGTCGCTCAAGATTCAGCCGGCGTGATACTGCAATTGTCGTCGTCCTCCATCATGTTGCCATATATTCTTCTTGGCCGATGACCTGCTCATAACTTTTGACTTCGGAACTTCAGAGAAAAGGCGGGCGGCTTTAGCAATTGAGTTACATACGGTACCTGTCAGGTGACCGTTGTGAAGCCATTCACTCACAAAGACAATGTGTTCATTATAATCCATCTATTAAATAGCCGGCAATGACCAGAAGAAGCATCGCCTAATGGGGCTAGGTATAATACGGTGCAAATTTCTGATCCGAAGAGGCATATCATTAACCACATAGCAGTTAGTAGTTAGCATATGTGGTTTAAATTTTGAAGGGCACCGTATTCTTTCCAATGCGGGTCATTTTTGAAGAAGATTATAAGATGAAAGAATAAAGGATGAGATTGTTTCATGATGCGATGTAGCCTTCACACAAGAATTGCCATCTGAGTACATGAAGGACAGAAAATTCAGATGGCATCAGGAAACGGAATCTTTGACGCCTTTTGTAATTTATTATTTTTTGCTGTTAGAAGGTGAACGAGTTTGCCTGTTCCAGCAGTCAAGCTTTAAATTAATTTTTGAATTTAATGTAACTAAAACTTTCAGCCTATGGAATGGCTAGAAATCTGGCGACTTGCTGCCACACAAGCTTTGCGTCTCCTTCTCCCTTGATTTGAACGGAGACAGGCATTTGAATATAGGAGATGCCGTTGCAATTGACTTTACGGCACCAAACCGATCTGATGCATTGGGAACTTCACACATTTAGCCTGATTTACATATGTAACCATCCAGTCAATGCTAAAGTCAGAAAGAATTTCACCAAACCTTCGCATGTTTGAACATTGAAACTTTTTGAATGTTAATATTAATTTTTTTTCGAAATTGCATAGAAAACTCTGCCAGCTCCAATATAAATATTCCACTTGAGTCAAATTAATGCATTCCCATTTCTCAGTCCATTCAATGCTATGACTTTTCATGCGAAAACTCCCGAAATTTGTTGGAGGTCTTCCTGGCCGATCCGTTTTTCATCAGGCATTGTCTTCACTATTCCCTTGGCAAGAGGGTTATCGTCCGTCTGTTGGTAATGGACTTAACAGCGATTGAACACATCGTCTGCAGCCTATCGGTCGCTGTTGGAATGTCTCAGCCTCAATTTCTCATGCCTCCATCTGATGCTTGATAGTACGAACTTCACATCTGACACTGATCTGAAAATTTTCATTTCCTTCGCTTAATTCTATCATGAAGTGTGTTTTAATCTTTTGTGCTAGAGCGTTAAACGTTACACTGTACGGTAGAAAATAAATGTTTTAAAATGTGATAATATAATATTAAAATAAACATCATTTTTGATCTTGCACAATATATCTCTTAATGCGTAGCGTTGGGCAATTTAAAGGGGAAGTAGACAAGTTGTTGGCTTTTCAGGTAGCGTTGAAGTCAAACTTGTGAAACAGGAGAGAAGAATACCAAAAGTGTGAAGACAGGTCAGAACGATGCATCAAACAGAAGAACAAACGGAGGAGCAACAACAACCGGAAAAAGATCTTGGGGAAGGAAGCAGAGCTGAAATCGAAGAATGGGAAGGACCACTACAGAAAGCGTTTGAAGCGCTTAAACTTAATGAACCAAGACAGAATGGTAGAAATTCGAAAGAAGTAGAACAGGAACTGGACGCTGACGATGTTGGCAAAGTCATGTTCGACAATGTGCAGAAAGCGGAGAACATCATTCGTCCAATAATTAATGCCACACCGTGTGAGGTAAGGAGGCTGTTTCCCGTGCAGAGGCGTTGTAAATGAACGCAGTTGACTTAGCTTTCTGTTACGGAATGTTTGAGGTTTGAACCTCAGCGATCAATAAACATTTTTGACTCAATGCTTGATTAGCGAAATCACTTATGGTTAGCTTCAACCCGCCAAGAGTGGACGACAAATGACTGATGCAAAATCTTAGGATAATTGTAGTCCTTAGTCAATCACTGAATGAGTGAATAGTTTGAATGACAGTTGGAATGTCATTAACCAGCTTGTTCGAAAAAAATTAATAATCTAGCGTTACTGTCCTTCAAACTAATTTCATAACATCGTACTGTTGTATTTGTGCAACACAACCCTGATGATGACCCTTGCAAGCGACGTCGAAACGTGTTCATAAATAAAGGAGTTTGTAGGTCATTTTCAGTTGTCGCGTTGGATAATCGATAGAGAACTGAATATCATACACGACTGCTCATGCAGGCAAAAATTATTTATTTATGTGAATAAATTATACCACAGGACCGCATAACTGAGCACTTAATAGTTGCTTATTATTGCTTATTGCTCATTAATTGTATTAATTGTTTGCGTACCGTATTAATGAGTTTAATTTGTCCGTTTGACTAATGATCCTTGCATTTTATAAATTTATTTATTGCTCATTAATATAATTCTGGTTTCTTATGTATTTAGTACAGTGAGCGGTTTTCGGAGGAAACTGGCATGGAAGTGTTCTTAAAAGAAGAATATTTGCTAGCTTCTGGCAGGTATATAAACGAAGACCCCGATTTATGATTGGAACTTCACATTATAGCTTCAAAGAAAGAGAAGCTTTAAGTATATTGGCACGGCTGCCAGAAGTAAGTCAAACTGAACCTAAGCATTTGATGGTTTAGGTTTCTGATTGTACCTCCTATGTCGAATTGTTATCACTCTCGTTGATTTTTGTGGTTAACGTTCTTTCGGTTATAAAGTGCGTGAGGCACGGTATCGGCGTGATTGAAGGTCAGTTCAGTTTTATGAGGTAGATTGGCCCAGTCAGAAACAATCGGTTGAGACCTCACTAGCAGCTGGCCTCTAAACGTTGATGAGTCTCTAAAGTCGTAAGGCCGTAGTCCACCTACCTCTTTCACCTAACTCGCATGGAATGTAGCGAAGGATCCCTAAGCCCAATAGCTGCCAACATTTGGCTAATTTCAGAAAGTAGGAATAAAATGAAAACTAGAATTCAAAACCCAATTCAAGAATATGCGGCAATAGTTCAGTCATCCCTGGTCAGTTTTGCCACATGCATAATCATTCGGAAAGTTTCGCCATATGTATACTCAAACAAAACATCACCCAATATCAGTTGGTCGATCAGTCAGTCAGGTATACCTATATATTATATACAGGTATATAAAGTATATACGAATATTATGTAGTAATAATTGCTACGAAGAGTGCACGCGCTAGCGAATCTGTACCAGCATCTAGGGTGGAACGGCCCTGCATAAAGGCAAATTTTTAGCCGACTTTCACACTTTCAAGCTGACTGAGGAGAACTGGTCGAATGAGGGTCCAGAGTGCTTGAAGCAAGATAAATATCAAAGCGATTGGAGGAAAGTCCTCTGGCTCGCTCATAGTAGCTGTGTTTTGAATAGCGGATTTTTATGGCCGCCAGAAATGCGGTATGAATTCGGGGGGGGGGCAGAGAAATGTTAAATAAATAGCATAACAGGTCCCTCAATCCCGCTTTACGCAACAATAACTCTTTCGCTCTGACCTCATCTGGTTCTGGTGGGCTGTTCGATTTGAAGAGATGAGAATATGCCTTCCTTCAAATTCATTGAAGTCATTATTGAACGATCTGGATTATTGGTAGTCAGCAGATTCCAGTCACAAGGAAGCGAGCCTGCGGAATCACATTCAAAGCGAAGTTTAAATTCAATTAAGTCATTCAGGTCATCGATGGGTCGTCTGTATAAAATTCTATATCCGTTGTATCGAAGAATCGTCTTCCAAAGTTGGCTCGAACAAATCCTTGAACTGTAGCTGTCGAAAGATTTAAATTTCATATGGCTCTGTTGCCAGGGCACTTGTATAATCCCGTATTATCAGTGATGTAGACAATCACCGTCAGAGGGCGTGGTTGTTTTATTACAAGCGCTAAATATCGTTTCTACGGTCATATTTCTGCTCTAGATTAAGCGCGAATTTTGAAATAAAGTTATTAGTCGTCCCTCAGCGTCGTTTACTGTAACTTTGGTAGGGATAAATTTCAAAACACGTTCCTACGCAGGTGTATGTTAAATGGAGCACAACTCCATGAAGACCAGATTTTACGGCATACTGCACTGCCACATTCTGCGCTGTCTAGGAGAAGGCACTTAAGCAGGCCACAGCTTACGGTATTCAGGAGCTTGCAGTGCCAGATTGCTTTTAGCTTCAGTTCAACGTGATTTAAGAGATGAACCGACGGCTACGGTCAAAGTCATATGCGAATGATGCAGGGGATCTTCTAGACATCATTTTAAAGCATATTTCATTGCCCTTGCTCCTAATTGAATGGGGGGGGGG